GGTTTCAACTTGCATCCGTATCTCATCATCTCAACACAACGTATTAATTTTCCTTTCATTTCTTCTCTTACTTAAACCACATACTTCGGTGGCTGCATCCAACAAACATATCTTAACATTATCCCACACAGTCTTCAATTCTAAATCATCCATACACAATTCATTCAAACATCTAGTATTTTCTCTCAATATACATTTATACTTCTCTTTCATATCTTCATCTTGTAACTTCTCTATTATTATACGCTGTAACGCAGTAGTAGACAGAGATTTCCGGTGCTGCCAACGCATGAATAGACAAGTAATTCGACATAAGACAAAGTAATGATCCGTCCCTACGTTGAAACCCCGGTAAACCCTTGTATCTATGACTGCACTCCTCATTCTTTCATCCACAATTATGAAATCTATCGTGCTTCTATCATCACCTCTTTCCCATGTATATGTGAATCTTCTTATGACGAAAGAAAGTGTTCGTCACAAAAAGATTCCTTTCCACACATACGGTAAGGAGGTCTTCATCATTCTCATTTACACTTTCATCACCAAACGTCCCAATATCCTTTCATAACCAGAGCTCTTCCAACCCTTCCATTAAAGTCTCCTAACATAATAATATTTTCATTTTCTTTATATTTCATTAAAACCATCCTTACCATGTCCCAAAACTGCTCTCGGAACTACTCGGCTCACATTGATACTCTTCATTACCCATCCATGATATACCACCAATACGCGGTATACATACCATGTGCAGTGGCATCCTTTGCCTTTCGTTTTGTCTCATTTACACATATATACATTTTGTCACACAACACATCTATTTCCTTTATCATTCATCATCCATCTTATCATGCTGCCCCATTAAATAGGCACCGGGAACTTGGGGCCATTTCTTTTATTTTGTTCCTCATGGTGCAAAACTAGCGTGGTAAGTTTTACGCCGCTACCATTACGGCGAGGAGCCATAGAAGATAGAATAAAAAGTACCATTCCCTGAAATACCAAATCGGCAACAGAATCAGCAACAACGTTGCTATGATTCGTCGAAAAGCAACCCTACCCCCAAGGGTAGTATGAAAAAAAGACCGCATTATTCAGTGAGCTGGCCTATAGTACCATACACGACGGCAGCCTACAGAAGGCCACCGCCAAGAGGGGACAACGAATAGAAAGTCCAAAAGAGAAGGCCCATGATCTACCACATCTAGAATCCACAGAGGCTAAGTGACCAGCTGTATCAGACCATACGCCAAGGCAAAGTCATGAGCAGATTTCTCTTCTTCATGATCGGTTATATGGTAATGGTCGTTAAAATTGTCTCGGATCATTATCTCTGTAGATGGTATCTATTGCAGCAAAGAGTCTGTAGCCATTTGGATACTATGGAGTACCTATAGAGGGACTCGTAGAAGCGAGGATATGCTGTCTACGGACAGACAAAGGATGGACAAGTCCGTACCTTTATGACTACCGGGCTGTCGAGAACAGATATAATCTCTGATGTATACGCAAACTCAGCCAATTTCTTCACAAAGGAGACAGGCCCTATCCTTTTGGGAGACACTAATAAGGTCATGAAGCATAGTACTAAGTTTCTCCAGCGATTCTACCATATTCACTATGTAGTCAGTTAATCGATAAATTTAAATAGCATGATGATAAACGTATGTGTAAATTATTCATAGAAAGTAGCGTATTCTAATATTGTTACTTATCAGATCCTAGATAGAGCTCGACCTAAGTTCGTACGTGTCCACTACAACTAATCATTAAGGCGCTACCTTGACCAAAACCTGGCAAAAGTGCGTTTTTCAGAGACTATTATCTCATTAGTTATGAAAAATAAACTACATCTAAAAGTACATTATTAATGTTCGATATCTTATCATCGCATTCCACGTTCTAATTTATTTTTATGTGCTATAAATACATTTAAAACCAACTTTTAAAAAATGACTAAAATTCTTGATGCATCTGTTGCTAAACGCAACGCTCTAATCATTTGAGGATAACACTAATGGATAGAGAATGAAAAAATCTATATTCTCCACGTTTTATTTAAATTTTTAAGTTCGTTTTTTCTCTTTTAATTGAAATCATTACGAAAATTGTGTGACTTCTATGATAAAGGGGCGTGCGCAGAGTGCGGGCGGCATTACGCTGTATGCGTTTGTACGAGGTGGCCGCGTCGCTGGTGGGCGCCCGCAAATTATATGAGTACCTACCAACCGATGCGCTTACGTCACGGTATATTGTAACTCGGCCGTATCTTATTAGAAATAAATCTTACAGCCGTGCGGTACGTAAACATAGGGCTGCCTGCCTCCAGCATTTTTACATTTGCCCATTGATTTATGTGTTTTATAACTCAATGGATTTTCCAACTTTGTGTTTCCATTTAGTTTTATACTTACTATATAGTACTTAAAATATACTTTTTTATATGAACAAATACATATATAATAGGTACTTTGTGAATTGAATAGGAAGTGTTCAATAAAAATACGTGTCGTTTTATGATTGGTAGATTTAATTAAAAAACCATGTTTATGTTTGAATAACAAATCGGTCTTATAAATTTGCGGCCGAAAAATATTTGCGCCTCGGCTGAGACGTACGAAATGCTTTATTATTAAAATTTTAAATATAAAAAATCCGCATTATAATATAAAACTTAATTAAAAATTGTTTTGGGAAACATGGACAAGTTGGAGTAAAGGAATATCTTTTACTTGGTTATAGATACCTGCAGCTACTTTACAATAATTTATATGTTTGGTTTTAAATGAAGTTTGGATTTATTATTTTTTATTTCTATTCTATTTTCTAAAAGGGTCCTAGGAAAGGAATTATCCACCGCGCTGCCCCACTGCGTGTTGGCGAACTTTGCATGTCTTCGAAATATTTTTTTTCTTATTTCTCAGACATGCAGGTTTCCTCACAATGTTTCCTTCACCACTGAGCACGTGGTAAATCAACACTTAAAATTGCAATTACAATATTATTGGTGCCGGCGGGGATCGAACCCGGTTTGCTCGCACACTGTGAAAATTTTAGCAAGCGCTAACCATCTGAGCTGCCACGGCTCCTCTCCTCTCGAGCTAGAGACTTTATTTTATTTATCGTCAGGCCTGTTGGTCTAGTGGTTAGTGACCCTGACTGCTATGCCGCAGGTCGTGGGTTCGATTCCCACCCAGGACAAATGTTTGTGTGATGAGCACGATCATTTTTTCTGTGTCTGGGTGTAATTTATCTATAATATTTATGTATTTAGAAATATATAAGTATGTTTATCAGTTGTCTAGTACCCATAACACAAGCTCTGCTTAGCTTTGGACTAGATGGCGTTGTGTGATAGTTGTGGAATATTATTATTATTATTATTATATTATTGTTGGGGTATCTGTATAGTTTTCTCATCTGGTTGGTTTTTATAAATATATAACTATAAATTAAAATGAAAAGATAAATATACATAAATATCAATAAAATAAAATAAATACAAAAAATACACAAATAAATAAGTTGATAAAATCAAGGCAAACTTAGGGTAGGGTTGTCAACTATTATTTTAATAATTAAACTAGTGAAATTCCGCGGGTTTTATATGTGCAAGCGTGAATGTAGTTAGAACATAATATTATAACCTTTATGTTTTACATAAATATCCTAAAAAACTTATTATTTTAATATTTTACTAAGTACCTATAAAATTAACAAGTTTATTGCATTTTTATTTGAGTAATTTTTTATGCAATTTCTTAATCTACGTCTATTTTTAGGAACCTTTATTTAGTCTGAATCACACATAACACTATATTACTGATTTACTTACTTATACGTAGTTTTCTTTTTTTGCAGTTACAAATATCTTGTGAGGTTGAAAAAGGCAGTAATGAAAAAATAATAAGAATAATAATAATTGAGGTCAGCCACTTCTTTTCATAAAAATTTCAGGTCATGGTCCATTAGGTTGCAGCTTCACCGAACCACAACTTATCCTATACCTTTAAACGAGCAATTCTTGTATATATATATAATCGGAATCTCAGAAACGGCTCCAACGATTTTCATAAAATTTTGTGTGCAGGGAGTTTCGGGGGCAATAAATCGATCTAGCTAGGATTTATTTTTAGAAAATGTCTTTTTGTCCGTGTTTTTAGGTAATGAAAAACTGCTACAATATCGTTAGAATAAGAAGGTAAATTTTGACAATTTATAAATGATTACAAATAGCTTAATTGGTATATTGGGCGGTCAAAATTCGTAATACCATGGTTCGAACCCAGACCGACCGGACCGGCTTTTTTTTTAATTTTATCTTCAAGTTCCTTTCTTTTTTTGAGAAAATCTATTTTTTCGAGCCCTTTTTTTTAGTATTTTTTAAAAACACGAAAATTTAAATTAAACTAATTGCACTCATGATTTTTATTCAAATAACCAGTTTAGTTTTTTCTATTATGTGGCTAAGATCAAAAAATATTATTCGTATTTCACCAGTATGTAATTTGTACTCGTATCTAAATATAATTTCCAAAACACACGAATGATAAAAAAACCGAGCGAAAAATACCGAGCAAAGCTCGGTCAACCGGGTACTAATAATAATAATAACAGTAATAATATAATATTATTTTGTATTTATTTTATTTTATTGATATTTATGTATATTTATCTTTTCATTTTAATTTATAATTTTTATATATTTAAATATTTATAGAACCGAACCAGATGAGAAAATTACAGTAGAGTCCGTTTATAATGACTTCGAAAGGAATTGACAAACACGTCATAATAAGCGGACGTCATATAAAGCGTTATGTGAAATGAAAACCTTTTTTATGTAAATATGTATGTATTTAAGTATTTTAATACAGAAACATACATAGTACATATGTAATTACATATGTATGTATATATACATATTAAACCAAAATCAAAATTGCCCGTAATCAGCACATTATTATAATAACACATTGTATGTACAAGTGTATTTTTTACTGTAAGTAATCTGTAATTTTTGTCTGCTTTTGTTTTTTCATTTTATTGTAAAAACAGTCTCTAATACTATTGTGTATAGAAGACATAGCTATGGTCAAATTATCATTTTCAATATTGCTGTGAACAAATCGTGATAATAATTCTTCAGCTTTTAATGCCTCTTCTGCGGTAGGTAATGGTGCTTCCTCGACTTCCTCTTTCCCATCACTTTCGAGTTGTTCCTTAGCACTAATGTTCTGTACGATATTTTCATCGGTGGGTTCTTCGGATGTGAGGAGACCGCTATCGATGTCAACATAATCTTCCCACATTTCCGGTGCTGCTAAAGAATCTGAGTTTAGATTTCGTGACCACAAAGATAAAGGAATGTCATCTTCTTCATCGAATTCATGTTCTGATATTTGAATAGGTAAACCGTTGTGGCTTTCAATGAATCCTGCGTGTTTGAAACAGTTATGAATGGTACTTTGAGACATTTTATTCCAGGCATCATTAACCATCAGAATTGCATCTAGCACCGTTACTTTTGTAGAAGAGTGGTTTTCATTAGCATCAAGACAATTAATCATTTTGAGCACAAGGTTCTTCCTAAAATTCATTTTGAGTGATCGTATTATTCCCTGATCCATTGGCTGTAGGTAGTACTGATGTTGTATTCGGCGGAAGGAAAGCAAGTGTTATAGACTTTAAATCAGTAACATTTGGATGCGCCGGGCAATTATCAACCAGCAATAGAATCTTTTTCTTCTTCTTCACCAAATCACGATCCCAATCACGAAGCCATTTTTCAAAAAGTTCTGACGTCATCCAAGCTTTACGATGGTTAGCATAATCGACAGGTAATGATTTGACACCTTTAAAACATCTTGGTTTTTGTGACTTTCCAATAATGAACAATTTCTTCTTCTCTGTGCCACTCATATTCGCTGTTACCATGACAGTTATTCTATCTTTCGATAACTTACCTCCACTACAATTTTCACCTTTAAATTTTAAAGTTTTATCTGGCATTAATTTGTAAAAAAGTCCAGTCTCATCAGCATTGAATATCTCATCATCAGAAAATTGTCTTCGTAAATTCGGCCACACAGATATCAACCAGTTTGTTGTTGAATTTTGATCTACAGACGAAGATTCACCGACAATTTTTCCAGCCACAATGTTATGTCGAACTTTAAAACGACTGATCCAGCTTGCAGAACAATTGAAGTCGAGAATACCAAAACGCGCGGCAAAACCATTTGCCTTTTCCTGTAGCATAGGACCGCTGATAGGTATTCCTTTGTTTTTCATGTTTTTAAACCACTGAATTAATGCTTGATCAACATTTTCTTGTCGTGATTTTCGAAGCCTCTTCGGTTTCAAAACATTTGAATTGAACGATTCCTTAATGCGGTTCTTGTTTTTAAAAATCATTGAGATTGTCGAATGACCCACGCCAAATTCCTTTGCGAGACATGAGTTAGATTCTCCATTTTCTAATCTGCATATTATTGCACCTTTCTCCTCAATTGTAAATGCTTTACGTCGTTGAGATGACATTTTTTTCACAGTAGCAAACGAAAAACAATGCGTGACCTTCAACCGTCAATTACTCACTGAGAATCAAAACAAAAAAAAGTCACGTGCCGAACGTCGTCGGGAATCAACGAACAATACCGAAGGTGTAAAGAATCATGTCGGTCATTATAACCGGACATAATTTATTAAAAATGGGTCATAATAAGCGACATGTCACTGTAAGGGAAGTCATTATATCCGACTTTGTTATAAAGAATTTTATATGAAAACCAAACTTCGTAGTGCAAATACGTCATAATAACCGGCTGGTCAATATAGGCGGAGTCATAATAAACGGATTCTGCTGTATACGGCTCCAACGATTTTAGCGACGAACGTTTGGATTTATTTTTAGAAAACGTCCTTTTGTCCATGTTTTCAGGCAATAAAAAAACTGCTACAGTATAAGAAGGTAAATTTCAACAAATCACTAACGATCGTTGTAGCTCAGGTGATATGTCGGTCGGGCGTGACATCGGAGTTCCGTGGTTTGCTTCTTGGCTTTGGTCCCGCTTTTTTTTTTCCTTTTTTTAAGTTCCCTTTCTTTTTTTTAGTAATTTTTAAAAATACGAAAATTTTAATTTTAAAAATTTAAAAAAAAAATCTATTTAGTTACTAATGCTATATTTATTATTTTAATAATTACCTACCCAGTAGGTAAATATTAAAATAATAAATGTAGCATTATAAACAGTAAATCTCCCTCAAAATCAATTTACTAATATTGTTCCTGAATAAGGAATAGCAGATAAGAGATTAGTAGGTAATAACTATTGCTCCTCAAAATTATATTTGACCTCAAGGTAAAACATATCCTAAAATTCAGTAGCTAAATAAAATAATAATACCTACTATTCAAGTATATTTTCAATATGTAAGTAAATGAAAATAACAAAAAAAGCACCATTAGCATGTGAAGTTCGAATCCATAATTAACATTTCGACAAATATTATAATTTACTCTATAAAAAGCTAATTCAATATTAGCAGTAATCAAAATAGTCATTTTTATTAATTAGATAATATATGAGAATACATAATTCTAATATAATGCAACTAATATAGGCCAAACTGGCCTCTAAAAAGCTTGGCGTGCTCAGCAGAGCAGGACAGTATTTCATGCCGGCACACCGCCTGCAACTTTACAAGGCGCAGGTTCGGCCGCTCATGGAATACTGTTCCCATCTCTGGGCTGGGGCTCCCCAGTACCAGCTCCTTCCACTTGACCGCATCCAGCGCAGAGCGGCTCGAATCGTCGACGACCGAGTGCTTTCCGATCGGCTCGATTCACTGGCGCTGCGAAGAGATGTTGCATCTCTTTGCGTATTTTATCGCATCTATCACGGGGAGTGCTCTGAGGAATTGTTCGGATTAATCCCAGCCGCCAAATTTCGTGAACGCACTACACGGCAAACGTCCCGATACCATCCACACCATCTGGATGCTTGGCGGTCCACCACTGTACGTTTCAAAAGGAGTTTTCTTCCGCGTACAATCTCTGTGTGGAATAATTTACCACCGGTGATTTTTCCGGACCGATACGACCTGGGGACCTTCAAGAAAAGAGCTTACTCCTTTCTAAAGGGCCGGCAACGCACCTGCAATTCCCCCTGGTGTTGCGGGCGGCGGTAGTCACTTAACATCAGGTGAGCCACATGCTCGTTTGCCCCCTCTTCTATAAAAAAAAAACTAATATACCGAATAAAGAAAATTAAAATACACATATCATTGTCTGCCGTGTTTATTTCCATAAAATAGTTCATTGTCATTGATAAATTAATACTACGTTCGTACCAGTAGGTGGCGTCTTGCAGATTTCTACGCGATGTATTGTAGCGAGAGCGTCGGCAGGCCAAACGCTCAAGGTCGTTCGCTAGGGGTAAAGCCTTAACCACAATGGCTTTTGAAAACTAATAAGTGTTAATACTTGTGTCTACACTTTTAAATTTTTGCCAGGCCAAAAATTTGCCTTAATGGGTCGAGTTATTATGTTAGTTAGTTTATTAACAAAGACGTCTGTGAATACTATTTGACCGACAATTCAGAATAAAAACTGTTAAGCTGTGGATCCCATAGGCGCCGCGCCGGCTGGGCGACTAGCTGGCACGGTAAATATACTACGCAGTTGTTTTCATTTACGATTGTCACAATTTTTTAGGAAAATACGAAATAAAGTTGAATGAATGAATGATTGACATATACTATATTGTACACTAGAAATACATATGAGAGAAAAACACATAAATTATTTAAAGAAACAATTGGCGGCCATATCGCTTAAAAGCAATCTCTACCAGGCACCCATTACAGAGGATAATGTATCATTCTGTCTTGGTATCATTCCTGTGAGAAATGGTAAGGTACACCCTTATAATATATTATATACCCGTAGATAGTTGGAAAATACACACGACATGAATATAATTATATAATCGGTAAATACATACATAATATAATAAAGAAATACATTTTAAATATAAAAATATAGACATATATATAAGAGTGCAGAATGGATTAAATAAGTAAGTCTAATCAAAAGCGTTAACGTAAGCAAAAATAAGTCGGAAAGTAGGTAGTAATTTTTTTGAGAAATGACTATTTAAGGAGGAAAGAAGTTTTTTTTTTAACCTTTCGCCGGCTGGGCGACTAGCTGGCACGGTAAATATACTACGCAGTTGTTTTCATTTACAATTGTCACTATTTTTTTTTTGGAAAATATGAAATAAAGTTGAATGAATGAATGATTGACATATACTATATTGTACACTAGAAACACATATGAGAGAAAAAAACATAAATTATTTAAAGAAACAATTGGCGGCCATGTCGCTTACAATCAATCTCTACTAGGCAACCATTACAGAGGATAAAGTAGTGAGTGACCTGTGAGAAATGGTAAGGTACACCCTTGTATATTATATTATACCCGTAGATAGTTGGAAAATATACACGACATGAATATAATTATATAATCGGTAAATACATACATAACATAATAAAGAAAGTAGGTAGTAATTTTTTTGAGAAATGACTATTTAAGGAGGAAAGAAGTTTTTTAACCTTTCATACCCATAATAATTCCATGCAGTCGCATGCGTCTGTCTAATCCCGAGCGGTCGCATTCGACCGCACCCACCCACAGCACTTTAAACCATTAATACTTATTATATTTAGAGACTACTTTTCTATGAAGAAGTTATTCACTATAAAAATACAAAATTCTCTATCCTGTGGTCTAAACAAAAGTGAGGTTTTACTTCATTAAAAAAAGATTTTATTGTATTTTGATAACAATGAAAAAACATACTAAGCGAATGTCGGCAGCGTGAAAATCACAATGATTTCTATATATCACTCGAAATTATTTACGTAAAAAGATAAATTATATTCACACAAAAACTTACATTACAATTTTATAATAAAACACTATACTAAAACACTAGAAAAATCCAAAAATAAACACAATAACATTCTCACGAAAACGGCGAACGATGTGAACGTAGATTATAAATAAATATCCTTGACTAACTGACTTTTTATTCCATGAGAGGATATGAAATTTCATATTGATTCTATAATGCCAAACTTCTTCACAGAAAAGTAGTCTCTAAACATAAGTATTTATGGATTAAAGTGCTGTGGGTGGGTGCGGTCACATTTGACCTCTTCAATTTCGACGGAATATCGCCGCGGTCAAATTTGGACGCTTGGTAGCTAAGAGGTTCTCGCCCGCTCGCAGTTGACTAAAGAACTTATGGAGAATTTACCGTAACTTAGTGTATCAGCACCAGTATCCGTCTACTAGTATACATAGAATAGAATTTTTTCATTATTATCCGGTCTTTCTTTCAAGTGAGAACAATGTCTTGTTCTCACTTTTAAATCCTCTGACAACCTTAAGTAAAATTGTCCATTTATTCAAGGTTATCAGAGGATTTAAAACAAGACATTGTTATTTTTAATATCAATAAAGTACATGGAGCACTGACCAGCACGTAATTGGGAGGTTCTATGGGCAGCTGTACACGTTAGATTTGGAGCCACAAGCAAGCGTGAGTAACGATCCAAGAACAAGTCTAATCCGACACTATTCCAATGATATTCCGGACGTTAGTCTGAGCAAGATTACAAAGGCTTTCCCGCACCTTTAAAACGGCAAGGCCCCGGGCGGGGATGGAATTACAGCAGAGCTTCTGAAAACGAGTGGCAAACTAGTACTTGTTATTCAGAAGCTCTTTAATTCCGTCCGTGGCACTACTCAGGAGACGTGGAACAGAAGTGCGGTGATCTTGTTTTTCACGAAAGGCGACAACGTTCTCTTGTGGAACTATAGACCGATTATTCTTCTGAGCAGGGAGAAGTTGCACTCTCGAAACTCTTCACCGCTGCATTGGAAGACGTTTTCAAGCTACTGAACTGGAAAGGATACGGTATTAATATCAATGTACAGATGAGTACATCACTCACCTTCGATTTGCTGACGATATAGTAATTATGGCTGTTGGCGACGCGTCTATAAGAATATTTCAATTTATTAGTTAACCAATTACGAATAGCTTCTAAAAACAAATTATCGAGCAATAATATTCTAATAAGAAAACACTTAATTGAATCTTAAAGAAATATCGAATTAATAATTTGAAGGTCTTGGGTTCGATTCCCAGGCCGGACTAGTTTGTCGTTTTCTTAGTAATATTTTCTTAATAAATTCATATAGGGAATTTTTAAGATATAAATTATGTTTCCGGGTTCAGTTCCCCGGTTGAAATCACCTTTCCAATAATATTGTTAATTTAAAGGAATATTAAAATAAAGTTAGAGACTAGGATTTGTTCCCCGGTCGAAATGATCACTTTGTGTATAAATAGAATTAATGGAAATTAATTGCATAAGTATAATCTTATATAAGTTTGATACGTTTTGTATGAAAATAAAATGTTTGTTTTCAATGTTATCTGATAAGAAACATGATAGCTGATAAG